CCGCGTCCCCTCCCCCCGCCCTTTCCCTTCCCCCCTGCCCCGCCCGCGCTCACTGATCATCCCAGGCGGCTCTCGCTGCCCCGCCGCCGCTCCGGCACCGGCCGCTTCCGTATCCGTTGCCCGCCGCAGGGCCTCGCTCCGCGGCCGACTAGCCGGGTCCCCGCGCCCTGAGCCCTGCCGAACCCGCGGCTCTGGGCGGCGGCCCCATGACCGCTTGACGGAACGAGTGCTCCGGGCTGGGCCGCCGACGCGCGTCGCCACGGCCAGAGTGCGCTCGGCGCTCGGCTGGCGATGTCTGCGTGACGCCCCTCCCCTCGCTCCGCGCCGTTGGCGTCAACGTCTGCGGGAAGCGCCTCCCTCACGTGCGGCTGGGAGCTGCGGAGCTGCCAGGTGAGCGCTGAGTTGAGGCGTTTGGTCTGTGCCGGTTAACTGCTGTTTGGCTGCTCCAGACACCAGTCCCAGCTCTAGCTGGAGTGAGCTCGGCTTGAGGAAGCCGAATCTAAAGGAGCCCGAGTGAGGGTTGCGCACTGAGGGATCCGGGTCCAGGGTGGTCTCCATCTGAGGGGAGCCGGGTCCGGGGACTTCGGTCTGAGGGAGCCGGGTCCGAGGGTCGATCTCCATCAAGGGAGCCTGGGTGAGGGATCTCCGTCTGAGGGAGCCGGGTCCGGGGCGTGGGGGGTGTCTCCATCCAGGGGAGCCGGGTCCGGGGATCTCCGTCTAAGGGAGCCGGGGCGGGGGCGGGGGTGTCTCCATCTGTGGGATCCACTAAGGTAAATCCCGTGGGGAAGCGCAGATCTGAGGGAGCGGGATGTAGGGAGCTCCAGCCCGAGGGGACCCGGGGATCTTCGGTAACCCCTCTTGAGGGAGCCGCGATCTGGGCGGGGATCCGGATCTGAGGGAACCTGGCCCTGCAAAGAAAGATGTCAGGGAGTCCCAGCCAAAGGGGAGCGGCTGTCTGAGGGAGGGGATTTGAAGGTACTGGTCCTGCCTAACCGTTTCAACCGACAGCCTGGGGACCGCAGCAAGGAGGGATGCTTTTTCTTTCTCGCTTTGACACATCACTGTGGTGAACGGTTTTTTCTTTCTTGAGATGATTTGCTTACTTTAAAGAAAATGACTTAACCTTTTACAATTTTTAAAGATATTTTATTATTTTTATTTTATGTGTGTGAGTGTGTTGCCTGCATGTAAGTGTACCCGTGTCATGCAGTGCCCACAGATGCAGGTGTGGAACCCCCTGGAACTGGATGGGAGCTCATTCACCTAGCTGCAGCATCTGAACCAGCACCCCTTCAATAGTCTGCTTTCATCATGGGACTCCTGGGTAGCACATAGGTGCTGGGAACCAAAGCTGAGTTCTCTGCAAAAGCAGCCAGTGCTCTTAAACTCTGACCCATCTCTCAGCCCCATCTTTTACAACTTTTAAGAAACTCAGAGCTTTGCCTCAGTTTGATACTAATTGTAGACTGTTGATGTGTATGCTTCCTTTGTTGTTTTGAGGCTTGTTGATTTTTATAGCTTTTCAGTTGTGTGAATGTTCTGTAGTCTTCTGTACATGAGTAATAGAAAGTTACTGGGAGAAGCTAACTATTGCAGCAGAAATAGAGGTATTTCTATTGGGTTTGAATTAACACCTGATTTCTTTTTCACCTGAAGAAACATTACTTTGCTTGTTTGTGTATTTGATAAAGCTAATCCTGATACATGATACCTTTTTTTTTTGGTCTTTTTGAGACAGGGTCTCCCTGACCTGGACTCACTATAGAGACCAGGCTGGCCTGGAACTCACAGAGATCTACCTGCCTCTGCCTCCTGAGTGCTGGGGTTAAAGGCATGTACCACCATGCTGGGCTGAAACTACCCTTTCAATCTGAAGTCATACATGATTATCTTTCTGTGAGTAAACTGCCCATGCTGATTTTTGCCTTATTGAATTCCTATATCCTCTGACTGTGTGATGTCTGATCAGAGTGGGAGATCTCCCTGCCTCTGCCTCCCAGGTTCTTAGATCAACAGCGTAGGCTGCCACATGTGGCCAGAATTTAATTGTACACTATAAGATACATAGTGTTCATAGACCTTATTAAAATACTGTTTTCTATTCTTTTTCATTGTAGGTGACGTGTAGCAATGGCTGCTATTTATTCAGGCATTTCTTTTAAGCTTAAAAGCAAGACAACTTCTTGGGAAGATAAACTAAAACTAGCTCACTTTGCTTGGATTTCCCATCAGTGCTTCCTTCCAAATAAAGAACAAGTAAGTTTAATGTTAAATTTACATTTTTGTGACCTAAAATAATTACATGTATGGGATTGAAGAGATGGCTCAGCAGTTAAGAACACTGACTGCTCTTGGAGAGGACCCGGGTTTGAGTCCCAGCACCCACATGGTGGCTAACAACTGTCTATAACCTCATTTTCAGGGGATCTCTTCCCCTCTTCTGACCTCCATGGATACTGTGTGACACGGGTGCATTTATAAACATGCAGGCAATATACTCATACACATACAATAAGAAAAAAAATATTAAAAAAAAATAAAAGGGGCTGGAGAGATGGCTCAGTGGTTAAGAGCACTGACTGTTCTTGCAGAGGACCTGGGTTTGATTCCCAGCGCCCACATGGTGGTTACAAACCAGCCTTAACTCCAGTTCCAGGGGATCCGACGGCCTATTCCGTCCTCTGCGGGCATTGCATGACATGGGTGCACTTACATACATACAGGCAATACATGCATACACATAAAAAAAATATAATAAAATTCTTTTTAAAAAATAATTAAAAGAAATATCAGTGAAAAAAGTAGTGAGATCTTTCTGTTTGGTAGATTGAAGGTTGAGGAATTAAGAAGTGTTAGTGTTTGTATGAGGCCCTGCTAGATATAGGTAGGTACCAAGTACAGTGTTCTTTGTTAATTTCTTAAGCTTATTTGGCTAAAAAGTAGATAATATAGTTAACACTACGATGACAAGCTCATGAAATTGTATTGACATACATTGCAATGCTGGTGTTAAATGAGGTAGCATAAGATGTATAAAAATATGAATTATAATTGTTAGGGTGGTGGTGAGATGTACTGTACAGAACAGTTAGCTTATCTAGCAGTACCTAGTGCACTTGGGAATTATCTTTGCAGCTTGGTAGTTCCCTGGTAAGCACTGTACAGGATGAAACAAAGGGGTAGTTCTGGCACATAGTTTGATCAAGACCTTTGCTGTCCTTACCCTTTTTTGTTTTAGCATCAGCCACTCTGGAGTCAAGAGCTTAAGGCAGGGTGAGAATAGCTGAGTGACAGTAGCATTTGCCAAGCATGCTGGAAGCTCACTAGCAACACACACACACGCAGAGCTTTGAGAACTGAGGCCTTTTTTCTGTGCCTGTAGGAGCATTTCACAATATTGGAAACTATGTGTACAGCCTTCTTTTCTCATAAAACACTTGGGCATCAGTTTACCTTGATGGTGTCTTCTGAAGTAGAATTAGGCTAAACTGCATGTATCTTGGGGAACTCAGTATGCAAATCCTAGTTTCCTCTCATTGTTTTTTTTTGTTTGTTTTTTTCTTTAATTATTCCTCATTGCCATTTTGCTTTGGGTATGTGATCCATTCTTGGGTCATTGTGGGCATTTATTGTGTTTCTCTTAGAAAAGAGGATTAAAAACTTGTTATTTTCATCAGAAACTTCATTAGTTCCAAATGAAGAAGACAAATTCTTTTTTTCATTCCTTAATAAACATTTCAGAACATTTATGTGATATAATACCACAGGTGAGAATTTTAAAAGTTTTGGTTTTTATTTTATGTATATGAATGTTTTGCTTGCATGTATACCAGTACACCATGTGTATGCATTGCCCGTAGAGGCCAGAAGAGTATGTTATAATTCCTGAAACTGGAGTTAACATTGTTAGCTGCCATGTGGAGAACCAGATCTGAGTCCTCTGGAAGAGCAGCCAGTGCTCTTAACCTCTGAGCCAATTTTCCAGCCCCAGATTTTTTTTTTTTTTCTTTTTAATATGCTTTCACTATACAGCTCATGCTGTCTTTGAAAATGTGACTTTCTTGCCTTAGCTTCCTAAGTGTTGAAATTATAGGTATGTATAAACACACTCAGCCTATTTGTTTAAATCTTGAGATAAGATTTTGCTATGTTGACCAGGTCTTGAACTTGTAGACTGAAGTGATTCTCCTGTCTCAGCCTCCAGAGTAGCTGGTACCTCAGGCATATTTTGTTTTATTTTTTGGTTTTTTGAGACAGAGTCTTACTATGTTGTGCTGACTGACCTAGAACTCACTATGTAGACCAGGTTGGCTTTGAATTCACAGAGATCTGACTGCCTCTGCCTTCTGAGTACTGGCAGTAAAGGTATGTACCACCATATACAGCTACAAGCATTTTTTGTTCTGTTTTGTTTTTGTCTTTTTTTTGAGACAGGATCTCCCTGTAGCTCCAGCTGGCCCAGAACTCACTATGTAGACCAGGCTGGCCTTGAACTCACAGAGATCCTCCTGCCTGTGCCTCCCAAGTGCTGGGATTAAAGGCATGCACCACCATGCCCTTGCTCGCTATAAGCAAAGAAAGTTGTTTAGGTTTTGTTTCATTTTCCTTGCAGTGGGATTTGATCATGACTGACTGTTCTTGTAATGTCAAAATTCTTTCTCTCTTAAGTTTCTTTATTCTCAAAGTTTGTTTTCTACAAATCCAGGTTTTACTTGATTGGGCAAGACAATCATTGGTTGCATTTTATAAGAAAAAACTTGAACTGAAGGAAGATATTGTTGAAAGGCTCTGGGTCTATGTAGATAACATTCTACATAGCAAAAAATTGGAGAATTTCCTTAAGAAGGGAAAGACAATTAATCTTCAGATTTCCCTTGTCAAGGTAAAAATAATGGGTCTTTTTTGTTGTTGTTGACTTGTGTGTTTTATATGTGTCTTTGTTAATTGCTCATTGGTGCATAAACATTTGTTTCAGAGTTAATTTTATGAAGATGTGGGAAATTTGAAGTTAGGGGAGGAAGGAGAAGGAAGTAGTAATATCCAAGTTTTAATACTGTTACTTATTGAATGAATATTGTGTGACTTATACTATGCTAAACACTTTGTTATTTAATGTTAAAAAACTTAGATTATTTTATGGTTACATTTTTATTTCCTTCTGCTCTCAAACTCAGGATCCTCCTGCTTTATATTCTTAGATATTGGGATTATAGATAGGCATACAGAGCTGGCTTGTTTACTTTTTTTTTTTTTCCATTGGGAATCGTAGCCACCAGATTATGCTACTCTGATTTTCCTTGGCCTGAAGGGAGATTAAAGATCAAAATCTGGATAGGAGTTTTCTCAAAGGTTTTTCTTTTTCCTAAGCATCTCTTTCAAAAAAATATTTTTATTGTATGTATGAATGTATTTCCTGCATGTGTGTAAGTGCACCTGTGTGTGCAGTGCCTGAGGAGGTCAGAAGAGATTCCCCTGGAACTGGAGTTATGGACAATTGCTAGCTGTCATGTAGGTGCTGGGAATCGAACCCGAGTTCTCTGGAAGAGTAGCCAGTGCTCTTAACCAGTGAGCCATCTCTTTAGCCCCCAAATTTTTTCAAAGGTTTTTGAAAATGGTTTGAAGGCTCAAAAGTATGAACTTCATTGTCAAAACAGCACTTTTACGTGCTATATGAATAGGTAGTTCCATTAAAAACCACTACTAATGAGAATTTAGTATATGACAGACTCAAAGGGCATCATATGGGTACTAAGTTGCAGAATTGTGTTTTGAACCTAGACGCACCTGATTATAGAGGCAGACTGTTCAGTCAGAGGAAACAAATGGGAAAAGGGCAGAGAACAAGGAAATAGATGAGCCTCCAGTAATTCCTAAGATCACACCCTCTATTGTAACTCCTTTAATAGGGTGATTCTGAGTGGTCCTTCAAGGCAAGTCAAGAAGATCAAGAACACCTCTGTATTTAAAAAAAAATCAAACTTAAACATTTTTAAGTGTGTTTATAATTATATAAAACATTACTGTAGGACACATACACAACTTACAAACAAATTATGCCTAGGGATGTAAATGTGGAAAGTATTTTTAAAAAAATATTATTTACATGTATGAATGTATTGCCTGCATGTGTGTAAATGCACCATGTCGTGTAATGCCTGTGGAGTCAGAAGAGGGTGTTGAGATTCCCCCTTACAGATGGTTGTTAGCCCCCATGTGAGTACTGGGAATTGATCCTGGGTCCTCTGCAAGAGCACCCAGTGCTCTTAACTGCTGAGCCATCTCTCCAGCCCCCAGAAAAAATTTTTTATTAATGAGTTATATAATAATAAAAAAATCTGAAGTTCATTGGTAGTGTGTTGATAGCTGCAAATTTGGCACATTTGCTACAGGTTTTAGGAGCAAAAGCTAGCACTTCAGAGGAAATAATGATTATCTCACAAAGCTGCTGATAGCTTAGTACTGTAGGACAGATTTAATTTTCAGATGCTATAAGGCTGTGAGCAAGTCACTGGCCCAACAGTTAGTTTTGGAATTTGCCAGTCTGTTGTCTGAATTTGGAATTTTGAGAGCTAAAAGCAGTGAATCTGCTTTGTGATAAATAGTAACTAGAAATGTTTGCTTTTTTTTGGTCTTTTTAAGACAGGGTTTCCCTGTAGCCACAGCTGGTCTGGAACTTGCCATGTAGACCAAGTTGGCCTTGATTTGACAGAGATCTCCCTGCCTTGTCTCTGGGATTAAAGGCTTGTGCCACCTGGCCAGCTTTCTCTCTCTCTCTCTCTCTCTCTCTCTCTCTCTCTCTCTCTCTCGCTCTCTCTCTCTCTCTCTCTCTCTCGCTCTCTCTCTCTCTCTCTCTCTCTCGCTCTCTCTCTCTCTCTCTCTCTCTCGCTCTCTCTCTCTCTCTCTCTCTCTCCCTCTCTCTCTCTCTCTTTTTAATACAGGGTCTCATGCCTCCCAGGCAGGCACTGAACTGGTTATGTAGCTGAGGATGACCTTGAACTTCTGATCCTCCTGACTACCTCTTGAGTGCTAGGATTACAGGCATGTACCACCATACTTGGTTTATGTAGTACTGGGAATGGAACTCAGGGCTTTGTGCATGCTAGACAAGTGCTTTACCAACTGAGTTATATCTCCAGACCTGCTTTCATGTTTTAAAAACAGGAATATGTAATGAGTATAAAAATGTATATAGGGCTACAAGGTCATGACTCAAGTGCTACCTGATAACGTCTGAACTGAATTATAGACAGGCGCTAAGAAGAGTAGACTGCTGATATCTAAGTGTCAGCAAAGTCCAGCTTTTCAAAATTTGTTAGCAAAGTTATGAAGCCACTAAACTTTTTCAGCATTGATATTGGCAGGAGATGGATACGTGAAGGAATTAGAATAGACACTTTGCCTTTGTTGATACATTAAATAAATGTCAGGTTCATGTAGAGGTAGGTAATATAAATGTTTTTTGTCAAGTGTGGGAGGCAAGTGATTGATTCTTTCATACTTTTTGTGTATTTGTGGGTTTAGGGTAGTAATGAGCTTTCTTTCTAATACTCAGATTATAAATGAGAGAATAGCTGAGTTCTCCCTTTCGGGATTCCAAAGAAACATCCGTGCCATCCTGAGTTGCTGTCAGGGCATCCTCTCAACACCTGCCCTTGCTGTCATCTACACAACCAAACAAGAGCTGATGGTGACCTTACTGAGCCAGCTCTGCTGGTCAGCATGCAGGCAGCCAGAAGGAGCTGTGACAGCCCAGCTATTTGAGGTCATTCATCTGGCTCTTGACCATTACCTTTTACTCCAGCAGCAGCAGGTCAACCCAAGACGTGTTTTTGGGGATATGACTGGGCACCTGCTTCAGCCTTGCCTAGTGCTGAGACACTTGCTTTCTGGGGGTACATGGACACAGGCTGACCAGGGTCAGCTACGACTAAGCCGACACATCAGGAATAAGATTGATGCTGTGCTTCAAGGTGGAGCTTTTCGATCCGATCTGCTCATGTCCTACAAAGAGGAGCTCTTGGACCAGCAGCCAGAGAACACAAAGATGGGGATCCTGAAGAGTATTCTTACTCCAATGAAAACTGTGATTGCCAGACTGATAGATGATGGCTATTGCAAATCAGACCTTCATGCCTTGGTTGTGGCCAGCTCAGTGGCCTTGTTGTACAGACTTTTTCTGGATTCATATCTTAAGGAGGAGAACCAGTTTCTATGCTTCCAGGCTCTTTCCAGGTTGTTTGACTGCTTGCGAATCTCACACCTGCGGGAGGAGCACATGGGAACTCTGTCCCTATCAGACTGGACCACAGAGCTTTTGGCTATAGAACAGCTGCTAAACTCAGTGGCCACCAACAACATCTACAATGTAGCTGCTGACAGGATCCGGCATGGGGAGGCACAGTTCCACTTTTACTGCTGTGTGGCCAAACTGCTGCTAAACCATTCACAAGCACTTGTGCCAACCTGGTTCCGCTGTCTCAAGATTTTAATGTCGCTAAATCATTTGATTTTAGAGCCAGACCTGGATGACCTGCTGTCTTCAGCTTGGATTGATGCAGAAGTAACAGAACTTCGAGCCAAAAAAGCCCAGGAGGCACTTATTAACACTGTCTTCCAAACATATGCCAAGCTCCGACAGATACCACGATTATTTGAGGAGGTTTTGGGGGTGATCTGCCGTCCAGCTGCTGAAGCACTGAGGCAGCCTGTGCTGGCCTCAGGCCCCTCCATGGCACTCTGTGCTTGCCTCTTGGAGCTGCCACTGAGTCAGATCTTGGACACATGGTATCTTGTGCTGGAGAAGTTCCAGTCTTTAGTCCTGCCCTGTTTGCCAAATGATGCTGACATGGCCTTGAAGGCACTGTCCCTGAGCTCTTTGCTACACTGCATCATGTTCAACATGCAGAGCCTGGACAGTAGCACTCCACTGCCTGTCATCAGACGGACCCAGTGCATAATGGAGAAGATGCTGAGGGAGCTTGTGAAGCCACTGCTGGCCCTACTGCTGGACCCCTGGGGCCCAGAGCCTGAACTGTGGCAACAGAAGGTGAGTGACTCTGCACTCCTGCTGTCTTACACCTGGGCCCAGGTGGACACTACCTTCAGTTTGCATTGCAGCCAATATCACTCTGTGACTGGGCCCCTAACTGGGGCCACTCTGGATAGCTCAAGCCTCCCGTTGTTGCTACCAGGTGTGGAAATACAGCTTTGGGAGAAAGTGGAAAAGTGTATAGCTCAGTCTAACTCTCTCAGTAGATATTGCTTAGAACAGCTGTACCTGCAGAAAGTGAAAAAGACTTTAATGCAGACCACTTCCCAGTCCAAAGAAGCTCTCCAAACCTTGAGATGTGACACTGCCCATATTCTTGGTTCTAGCAGAGACTGCTTGAGTCAGAAGACAGTAGCTGCCTGGGATGGGCAGGTAGGGACAGTGAATGAGTCCACATACCCTGTAGCATACTGGCACTTGATTGTGTCAAACCTCACAGTTTTATTACCTTACATTTGTCTGGATGATGTGAGATGCCTTGCCAATGTCCTGTTAAAAACTTTACCTGAAAGTAAAGCCCAGGAAGACCTGGCACCTGGTGAACCATGTATCACACTGGGCAAAGTATCTACATCCCTCCTTCACAGCCCTCTCTTTGCTGAGATGCAGTCCCTCCATTCTGCCTTTTTGATATGCATCGTTTCAAGATGTTCTAGCATTCTGAGCTCTGGTGCCCATAGTGACCTGAGTCAGCTTAGTCAGCAGCTCTCCTGGCTTTTTGAAAAGGACCACCACACTATTATGGCTCATTGGGAAACCAAATTGGTGAAAGTTGGACCTGAATGTATAGAACCAATAGGAGAAGTTGCCCAGAATTTACTAGCCTTGATGAAGAGTGATATTCCTATCCAGCTGGAGGAAGAGCAGCTAGAAGGCCTCCTGAAGCTCTTGGAAGTCATTTCCACCCTGCACTTAGACAGCCTTTTGCCATGTTACCACACGTATTATTTTACTCTGTTACTCTCTATGGCTGTCTCCGCAGTAGTGTGCTGCTCTTCCCCACCTCCCCTTCAGTTCTTGGTGGCATGCTACCGGCTCATCAGTGGTCTACAGAGAGGAAGGAATGCCTGTTCCGTGTTCAAGATCATATATGTTAGTGACATCTTTGAGGTTGTGCTGACTTCATTGTTGCAAGCCAGTAGAAGGTTCCAAGTTAAAGAGGATGACCCTGCATGGCTGCAACTCCTTCAAGTAATAGGGACATTCTTGGAGCAGCTAATGCAGATAATCATCCAAATGAAACTGAGCTTGGTCCTCAACTTTGGAAAAATCATTACTTTTCTTTCAAGCAAAGAATCGGAAATCCAGAGCCCTCTGGGCAAGCAAGTGCTTCTGTTGGCTCTAACCAAGTTTTGTCAAGTCCTGGGGCCTTTTGTTAAGGAGCGGAGGCAGCCACTGGAGGCCCCAGCAATACTGCCTGAGTTGCTGCAGAAGGCCATGATGCAAATGGGTACTATGCTGAAGCTCTGCTCAGTGCCTGGGAATGGAGGCCACCATTTGCCCTCAGTCCTCCTCTCAGCTGTCCCCACTCTTTTAGAAGTGGACCTGAGCCAAAACTTCAGGGAAGGAGGGCCCAAAATCACCCAAGGGGTAGATACAGACAGAGCTCTGCTTTCTCACACAACCCTTTACCATGATGTGTACATTCAGCTGCTGGAGGAGTTGCCAGCCCTGGCGAGGAATGCTCAGTTTTTCCAGGCAGCCTTGCATTTTCTAACTCTGTTCTTTTTGGCCTCAGAGCTCCATCCACAAAATGGTTCTGTTTTTGTCGCCATCTTTCATTCTATGAAGAAAGTTCTTACAGGTAAGGTGTTTCTTTCTGAACTGATTCTGTATTACAGGGATTTAAGACACTGGGACCTCCACAACCAAGTTGCCAGGCCTCCCCTCTTCTGATCCTTCTGCCTCTACCTCATCAGCATATCCTACCAGTATGCACCACCACAACTGGCTGGGTCTCCCCTTTTGAATAAGGTGACACCTGGTATCTTTAGAACGTGCCACATGGAGATGGTAGAAAGCTTGCCCTCCAGTCTTTTAACATCTGGGACATCATTTCCTTTGTCTATATTCTTGGCACATGAAAAAGCAGTTACCTTTCCATCTTTCCCTTCCCTATGCATGTTGCAACCTTCTAGGCTCCTTGGGTTTCCTTATGTTTTGGGGATTGTCTTGTTTGCATTCATGGTTTTGAAGCCTGCTGGTGATTTTGGCCTTTAATTTGTCCTGGCCATGGGGGAAGCTCACTTGGGGGAAACTCCTCTGTATCAGACCTTTAGAGCCGTAGATTGATTTAAAAATTACATAAATTCAGGGGCTAGAGAGATGGCTCAGCAGTTAAGAGCACTGACTGTCCTTGCAGAGGACCTAGGTTCAATTCCCAGCACCCACATGGCGGCTACGAACCATCCAGTTCCAGGGGAACCTGAAGCCCTCCTCTGACCTCTGCAGCATTGCATGACATGGGTGTACTCACATGCAGGCAATACACTCATACACATAAAATAAAAATATTTTAATGTAAAAAAATTACATAAATTCAGCTGGGCATGATGGCACATGCCTAATCTCAGCACTCAAGAAGCAGAGGCAGACGGATTTCTGTGAGTTCAAGGCCAGTCAGGTCTACATAGTGAGTTCCGGGTCAGCTGGGGCTGCAGGGAGACCCTGTCTCAAAAAAGACCAAAAAAAACCCCAAACTATAAATTTACACAAATTTTGCCAACTAAAAAAAGCCTTGGAGATGACTTAATTTCTAACTGGTAGGCATGGTAAGACACACTTGCCTAGTGTCATCTCATGTGTTAGGGGAGTATCACTTTTGTCTAGTGAGAAAGCTGATGTCTTCCTGTACAAAATTGACCTCTGCAGTCTCCCAGGTCAAAGGTTTAGGGTTCCTATGTACCCACTGAAATAGTTATGAAAACTAGAAATATCTAAAAAATATTAGTGTTAAACAAAAGGCACTATAAAATTTTTTTTTCTCCCCCAGCAGGTTTTGGTGGCTTGCCTTTAATCCTAGCCCTTGGGAAGCAGAAGTAGTTTGATCTCTTATGAGTTCAATGCCAGCCTGTACCTTTTTTTAAAAAAAACAACTTTCTATGATTTAATATGACTTAATTTTTTTTTTTTTTTTTAAACCCCAGCTGGCCTGGAACTCAGTTTTGTAGACCAGGCTGGCCTGAAACTCATGGAGATCCCCCTGCCTCTACATCTGGAGTGCTGGGATTAAATGGGTGCAACACCATGCTCGGTACTTAATTATATTTACCATACGAAAGGGCTTGATTCCCGCCCCCCCTTATTTTTTTGGTTTTTTGATATAAAGTCTCTGTTATCCCAGCTGGCCTACAACCTGTTAGGTAGATCACACTTGATCAGTATTTTTTTAAATTTTTATGTGGTGCTGGAGAGATGGCTCAGTGGTTAAGAGCACTGGTTGCTCTTGTAGAGGACTCAGGTTCCCTTTTTATGACCCACATGGGGGCTAACAATTACCAGTAACTCCATTTCCGGGGGAATCTGATGCCCTCTTCTGACCTCCATGGGGAAAACCCATGTCTTCAAGAACAGCCAGTGCTCTTAACTGATGAGACATCTCTCCAGCTCCTTGATTGATATTTAGAACCTGCTTACTCTGCTCCTTGATTGATATTTAGAAACTGACTGTATTTATGTAATATAATAAAAGGTCTAAGCCTTCTGCCTCTTATTAGCATACAGAAATTAAATAGAGCCAGGTGTGGTGGTGCATGCCTTTAGTCTGAGGCAGAGGCAGGTGAATCGCTCTGTGAGATCAAGGCCAGTCTGGTCTACATAGTGAGTTCCAGACCAGCTGGGACTACAGGGAGACTCTGTCTCAAAAAGACACACACAAAAAATTAAATAGACTTCTCAAAGCAGGCAGATGACCAGGACTGATGTTTTCTTGTTTCTTGTCATTATGCATTGCAGATGGCAGAGGCTTTCCTTTCAGTTTGAGGATTGCTGAGGGGCTAGGGTAACAAATGTTCTTTTGCAGTTAGTCTTGCACTAAGAATATGTGGTGAGTTGATTCCCATAGAGAAATTGCAAGAAGATGGGGCCTTTAGGAAGTAAAGCCACCTGGTCTTGCCTGGGCCAGTGCCAGACCTGGGTGTGTGGCCAGAGTAGCACTGTTGTTTTTTTCCTTGTCACTGACCTATCGCTGACCCAAATGTGGCAAAATTGGAAAAACTGATATGTCACGGTCTATTTTTTTCTGTTAATAACTCAGAGACTGATTGATTCTTTACTTCCTAGGGCTTACATCAAGTGTTTTGTTAAAGTTTGTGACAGCGTTCCCCGGGTGTGGTGGCACATGCCTTTAAAGCCAGCAGAGGCAGGCAGATCTCTTGTGAGTTCAAGGCCAACTGAGGCTACAGGGAGACCCTGTCTCAAAAAGACCAAAAATAAAGTTTGTGACAGCATTCTAAGTGAGTGTTTTGGGAGGCAGCTGGCATCTGAAGCTGTGGCTGTTGCCCTTTTGTTAAACTGAATACTGTGTCCCCTTCCCCCAGCCCTGGTAAACTGGGGTAATTTAAGTCTTCCTCTTAAATCCCTGACCTGTGATACCTCTGACCTCTGGAACAGAGCCTCAGCTGCAGTGAGTCCATCATGTGGTCTACCCCCTTGGTCCAGCCCTCACATACCTAAGCTATCAGACTTTACAGTGACCTGCTAGAGTAGTGAGCAATCTGGAAGAAATGCCAAGCGAGGAGAGGCTCAAGGCAGGGAAGGAGAGAAGGAATGTGACAGTGTCCTTGAAGACCTGAAATGTAGCCATACAATGACCTGTGTATGTCTTCCTGTCCTCTGGTGGTGCTGAGGGAGATTTCATAGATAGGAGTTTTTATGAAGAGTGCTTTCAGGCAGAAGAATCGACTGTATCAGTAAGAGTCAGGGAAGCAGGCACTTTAGAGCTGGCCATCGTATAGGACTATCTCTGCCCTGGTGGATAATGCTACTGATTTGGACTTAAGTAATAGAATCCATGATTGCAGAGAAGAGAATGTAGAATACAAAGGCCCAACCTGAATGTGGGACTGAGTTGAGATGGATGCATGTAAGCCAAGTGTGAGTAGCCACAAAATACAGCAAGGCAAGAAGGGATGGTGAACCCTACTGGTAGGCTTTCTGTAGGTTCTTTGTCCTTTTATTTGCCAACCACAGGCATCTTTGCTGTTGTGCCCATTTTACTGAGGAGAGAATTAGGGCTGAAAGATTGTAGGAGAGATGAGCCTGTATCTTTTGTCAGTCAAAATTCCTGGTCCTTGTCCCCCTGCTGTCAGTATTGGGCACAGACTAAGAAGTACAAATGTTTTGATAGAGTCGGGCATGGTGGTGCATGCCTTTAATCCCAGCACTTGGGAGGCAGAGGCAGGCGGATCTTTGTGAGTTCGAGGCCAGCCTTGTCTACATAGTTCCAGGACAGCTGGGGCTACAGGAAGACCCTGTCTCAGACAAAAAAAAAAAATGTTTTGACAGTGTGTACTAGTCTGAGACGCTGGTGGAAAGGTGCTATGGGGTCAGTGATGGAACACCTTGAAGACCCTGAATTGGGCTTTATTGTGATATTGTGGGCCAAAGGACCCTGCAGTTTCCAGAAAATACCTGGTGATTCAGCAGACAGTCCTAGGAATGTCTACATTCTTTTAACCTTTTCAACATTTCCTGAGTATTTAAAAATAACCTACTTTTGCATCCATTTTGATTTTATAAAGGAGACAAAGGATATAGAAAGATACAAAGTAACACCTGTCTGCTATTGTCCAGAGCTAACCTTTCCTGAGCATGTTGGCATTTTCTGTGTATATGCACTGTGCACAGGTACAGCTGTTTGTGTGAGAGAGAGGCACTATCTGAGTGTCCACTGTTTTTTTCACCAGCACTTGGTTGTACTACCACACCCTTCAACTCACAGTTTTGTTTTGTTTTTTGTTTTTGAGACAGTGTCTTACTATATAACCCCAGCTGGTCTGGAATGTCATTGTGTAGACCAGGCTGGCCTTGAATTCACAGAGAACCACCAGTCTCTGCCTCCTGAATGCTGGGATTAAAGGCCTACACCACTACTCAGTTTTTAATGACTGCATGGTATTATCATAGGCCACCTTGGCAGCTCATTGTCCCTTGTCTCTCACAACTTACTGGTTTTGGCTTCTTTTCCTACAGATCCAGACATTCCTGCTCCAGTCATTCAGGATATTGAACCTCACTTGGGAACCTTGCTCACTCAGATGGTGGAGGCTGGGACAATGGAGGACTTTGGGCTGGTGATGCGGTCTACTCTCCAGGGGCTGGACATCACTCATGCATGGAAAGCAGAACTGCAAGTGTGGATAGCTTCCTTCTTACTAGTCTGCTGCCCAGAGTAGTGTCCACTCAGGGAAAAGGAAGGCCTGTTTGAAATGTTGTGATACATCTAAAACTATACAAATTTAGCTGACAGAGTAGAGGCAGGGCAAGAACTGTGGGAGGGAATCCAGCTCTGGGCTTGTCTACCCTCCAGTGAGAGGAGTCTTTATTTTTCACAGGGGAATTTCTTCAAATTACAAATGCATGCATTATTATGTGAAACATTAAGTATTATATATTCATTATAGTGATCATAAAAAAATTAAGTTCTTTCATTCACCACTCTGTGTCCTTTGCTGAGCTTGCTGTCCTGGACCACATATTGCCTGGTTTAATGAAACACTCTGAAGGCCCTGTTTTGTTGGAGTTCTGCTCATTTTCACTACCTCCTGTGTGCCAATGAGTTTGATGGCCCTTGCTCTCAGGATTCAACCCTGGCCATGTCTTGTCCCTGTCCTCAACAATAGGGCTCTACTTACCACATCAGCACCAATGAGAGGCCTTCTCCCCCATGGAGTTCTCTCTCAGAGGGTTAACTGTTTTCTTGCTAAAGTTTATCCTTTTATTTCAGGCTGTTTTGGCCGCTGTTAGACTGCTCAGGCTGCTGCTCAAATGCTCACTCAGTGGAGAGAAAGCAAGTTTGTTATGGCGTACATACCCCCAGATAGTCACAGCTTTGATGGTGAGTGGTTTGTAGAAATGTGCCCTCTAGCTTGCCTTTCCCTCTTCTGTGAGACAGCCAGTCTCTGGGGCCTCTGTTTCTAGAGCTTTTTCCTGTAGGTAGCCATGAGCAGGCACCCCATTTGTGTGCCCTATCTGTGCATACTACTAGACAGTAGCAACCTGGCCTGGAGGTGGTGAGAGGGCTAGTCACCAGGAAGCATCAGATGGGAGTGATGAGATGAGTATGGGGACAAGGTGAGGCTCCTGTGGGCCATGTAATCTCAGAAGAGGTGAGGAGGATCTCCAGGGCTGATTCCCTGCAAAATGCTGTGCTCAATTGAATCTCTTCCAATAACAGAAGGGATACACATATATAGGCCTGTGATACATTGGAGGAAAGGGGAGGATGGCTCTATAAGTTGGAGTATTGATACTGTGACAGGTTACTGTTACATGCTATCCAAGTACTGAATTTTCATCTGACAATCACTTGTTGCTATTTTACTACTAAAAAATCTCAGTTCAGTGGGGTTGCTCTCAGTTCTAGCCCCCCAATGAGCCTGGTCCAGATTTTCTTAATGTGACAGGGCAATGCCTGCTTGCTGTGGTCTCCATCTTGATTGTGGCTTTTGCTGTCTTCAGAGAATTGCCATAGGTTAACACATTCTCAGATCTTAGGCCTGAAAACTAGACTTCATGTTCCCTCCTGTTTTCACATTTTCTTCTTTGTCTTTTTCCTAAGAATCTACATCACCAAAAGGTACATGCTGAAACATGCCATTTTCCCTCAGTGTAATTTTGAGCATCCAGTGGAGGAGCAAGTTGCCAAGTGAGGCAGATGACATGCTTATGGGTGGCCATGGTGATAAGCATGTGTGTTGACCACACTGATACATACCAAGCTGAAGTTCACTTGGTGCAGCAGGCAGCCTTCAGAGTCAGGTACTCTGCAAATGATGGACATTATGAGATTCAGGACTCAAAGGTCCCTCCAGATGCTCACTGTCAAGCTGGGAACTCTAGAGGTACTCTCTAGGTGACCCAGGGAAGACTTAGAGTATCCTTCATTTTGAGTATTCCCTTTACTTTTTTAGAACAGTAACTAAACATCTTAACTACATATTGTAATCACAGGCAGTTGGAACTTATGGTCTCTTTTGGGAAAACACGCATGCCTGACATGCAACTTTCTTATGAGTCCACTCCTTTATAAAAAATTACTTGTCACCTGGCCTTTAATCCCAGCACTTTTGGAGGTGGAGGCAGGTGGATCTCTGAGTTTGAGTCCAGTCTGGTCTACATAGCGAGTTCTAGGCCAGCTGTGGCTGTAGGGAGACCCTGTCTCAAAAAGACAAAAAAGAAAAAGAAATTGCTTGTCTTCGTGGTAGATACAACCAACAAAAAGTGTAGGCCAAAGTAGCCAGGTCCATAAGTGTGCCACCCTTGGAGACTGGACAGTAGCCTCCTAGTCCCTTCAGGCTGCTCATTGTCCACACCATTTTATTGTGGAGCTTGGGCAGTCCTTCCTTTGTCACCTGGAACATCAGTGCTGGTATTTCTTTAGAGGATCATCTTTACTGTCTTTGCTTTGCCTACATTGTAGCTGCAACACCAGGAGGCCTGCCAGGAGCATCCTGTGGCTCTTGTGGTGGTTGAGCCTATTCTTGATGTCCTGGCTGCCCTGCTTCGACAAGGGGAGGAGACCATCAGCAACCCTCATCATGTGAACCTGGTCTTTAGTATCTTGCTCACTGTCCCTCTGAACCACCTGAAGCCCCAAGAATATGGCAGTGTCTTCCTGAAGATGCACAATGTACTCTTCTCCATCTTGCAGTGCCACCCTAAGGTGAGATGGGAGTGTCACAGCTGCTCCCAGGTGAGCCTGGAATGCCAGCCTCCAGCAGAGAAGCAGAAGGGATTGCTCTGTGGTGTATGTGAGCCCTGGGTTACCCATACTATGTCTAAAAACAAAAATAAGCAAGGCGAAAAAACTGAAGAAAGAAAAGCAGGGGGAATGCTCTTTTGCAGACTTGCTTCCATGTAATTTCTGGTAATTCATGTAATTTCCCTGTAATACTTGATCTTCTCACCAGGCCAGTTCTTCTTTGCCAGGTCTGCTGCTCTGTGTGGTAGTGTGTACTAATATGAAGGAGGCTCACTAGAAATTGCTCTGTGTTTGCAGATGATGTTTTAAACAAGTCATTGTCTGCTGGGTTTCTTAGTTCAAGTTGGTAGAAGGAATGAGTATCATGAGTTTATAATCACCTACTATAAAGACTATTTATAGTCTGTTACATAGAGGCTAGGAATACAGACCCTATACAGGAGATTTGTTGAACACTTGCTGTATTACCCCACAGCAAGCTTTCAAAACACGTGATAATCCTGTTTTACTGATGGATACTGAGGAAGCCCCCACTGAACATTTGACTATTGCCACTCTGCTGAATCTGAATGTTAGACTGAGCCTATTGATACTTTTGACCGGGGTTCTTTTCATGCACCACTACTATACGTGTGACAAATGGGAGCTCAAATGTTATATATGTACACGCACGTATGCATGTTTAGATACTTTTAAGTATTTTAATGCTCTAAGAATAAACCTGCCAATAATACCGTTATTGTGTGTGTGTGGTGGGGGTGCCTATACCATGGTGTTCATGTGGAAGTCAGAGGACAGCTTGGTAGAGTCACTTCTCTGTTCACCTTTACATGGGTTCTGGGGATCAAACTCTGGTCACCAGGCATGCGTGACAAGTGCCTTTACATGCAAGTGCCTTTACACACTGAGTTATCAAGGAACGCCATTTTTTAAAAAATTTTATTTATGTGTATGAATGTATTGTGTACATGTATGTAAATGCACCTGTGTCATACAGCGCCTGCAGAGGTCAGAAAAAGGCATTGGATCCCTTGGAACTGGGGTTTCTGACAGTTATTAGCCACCATGTGGGTGCTGGGAATCAAACCTGGGTCTTCTATAAGAACAGCCAGGGCTCTTTTAAGAAAACTTTTTTGGCACTGATTAAGTTGGGCCTTGCTCCAGATCCCTTCCCAGCTAACTGTAACCTTTTGCCCTGCCTCTTCTGTCAGAACCTTTGGTATGGAATTTCTTTGCTCATTGTGAAGGTAGCTTTGTGACTGCACAGAATAAATGTGGCGCAAATCCATCATAGTCTGAGATTGCAAAAAGATGTAAGAAAGTAAGATTAGTAAGCTGCTTGACTCTCCTATTTAGTGTGATTGATCCATTTCAATTAATAGAAAATATCAACAGTATGGTATTCCAGCAGCTGACATTCACCTGCTGGGTCTCATGAGGAAAGCTAGTGCATGTTGTTAGGTCCACATGGGTGTGAACACCAAGCTAGTATCCTCTCAGGTATATCTAGAAGGTACAGCAGATGGCCAGCATTGACTAGACACCTAGGAGAAGACTGTAACAAGTATGTCACATGTTTTTTTTTAATTATTTACTGTTTATTACGACCTGTTATCTTCATTTTGCAAATGTGAAAAATAAAGCACACATAAAGGACAAATTTGCCCAGTTACCTAAGGTGTCAGTGTGGAGCTAGATCATCTGGCTTGGGTTTGTTTACTTTTCATTAATATGATAGTAGCGATTCAGAGATGCCACTAAGAGTGTGCTGATACTTTTGCAATAATGGCCTCTTTTTTAAAAAATATTATTTTCATTTTATTTGTTTGCATTTATTGCCTGCATGTAGGTAAGTGCAGTGTGTCGTGCAATACCCGCAGAGGACAGAAGAGGCTGTTGGATCCCCTTAAACTAGAGTTACAGACTGCCATTAACTGCCATGTGGGTGCTGGGATTCGAACCCAGATCTTCTGCAAGAACAGCCAGTGCTTTTAACCATTGAGTCATTTCTCCAGCCCCAATAATGGCCTCTTTTTGAATATGTTGCAAAAAGCCAGTAATTTGGTTTTAAGGATTTGCTATGATGCTGTCGGGAGTTGGATTAATTATACCAGAGAGAATTGTCCTGGCACTTTATTCTTTTTTTTTTTTTTTCCGGTCTAAAGTATAGAGCAACACTGTCCAGTCAATATTCAGTGATGCCTGCCTTGTCAGTGTAGTAATCACTGGCCTCAGACATGTTTGCTACTTGATTGTGGCCAGTATTAGTAGGAACTGCATATTTAATTTTACCTAATTCTGATTAAATCTAAGTAGTCACATAGGCTAATTGCTGCTGACTTGGACATTGTGTTTGTGATCCTGATATGAAGTGTAAAGAAAGCATGCTTTGGGGCTGAGGAGATGGCTCATTGGGTAAAGTGTTTGCCCCACAAGCTGAGGTTAGATTCCCAGAATTCATGTAAAGTTGAACATGGGAGCTTGCATCTCTAACCCCAGTATTCTATGGTAAGATGGAGGAGGAAGACAGGAGAAGAAGAAAGCAAGCAGACAAAAGATGATCGGTATACTTCTCTTTTTCTTTATTATCATAGGTGATGCTGAAGGCCATCCCGTCTTTCTTGAACTCGTTTAATAGACTGCTATTTTCAGTTATGCATGAAGGACGACAGAAAGACAAAGGTAATTCAGAGTAATTACATCAGGTATACAGCTTCAAGTATATTTATCATGCAGTGTTTCTGGCCATGAATGTTACTGAAAATAAAATCACTAAACTGAGTTTACACGAGAATTGTTCAGGTCATCACATTAAATTTTTTTTTTATTAATTCATTGAACATCAATATATGTTGGTCATATAGACCATCATATTTTACTGTATCCAAAACAATAGATCCATATGGCATTTCTGACAGAAACAGTTCTTTTTCTGGAAAGAAAAAAATTAAATTTGTAGAATACATACCTGTAAGGCACATTCTTGCCATCAAGTTTAAGTTTATAGTTTACTAGAAACAAAAGGAAGAGGTAGTGTGGAACACTCACTTCAGAGCAGAAGGGGCGGAGAGGGATGAGAAGATGGGCATGGTGATATAGATTGCAGTTTTCTAGTTACTCTACCTGGCTCAGAACCAACTAATGGCACAGCTAGGTGTCACCATTTCCTGTGCATGGCACAGAGCATGTGTCGACTTAATACTAGAAACATGTTCCTCTCTCTAATCAGACTTGGCTGGTAGGTAATGACTGCTTGTGGTTCTAGTCAAGGCCCCTCAGATTCCAAGATGCTTTTGATAGTGACATCTTCCTGGGCTGGCCAGTCCAGGCCTTGCTGTGTACTGTGGCATATATACAGTGTGGCTATGTACTAACTCGGGCTTATCTTTATCACATGTTGTGAGGATGCATGGGAGCATGTGCTTGCTCATGTTGGCCTAACTCAGTCCTCTCTGATCCCAAGACTGGCCTCTGTTGAACTTGTTGCTTGACTCAGGAGGGTTTTAAACAGTTTATTCTCTTTATTGGAGTCTAATGCACTGTCTTATTATGCATGAAGTCCAGTTGAAATAATCAGTGTTAGTTACCTTAAATTTTAAATAGGACATGTATGTCTGAAAAGAGAAACTGGACTGTCAGATGGTGAAGCACATCATTACAGTATGGGCCTATTGAAATGCTTCACAGATACTAGCATAATTTCATAGAAATTACATAGATCTAAAAAATTGCAGGTATAAATTTATCTGTATGTTTGTTCAGGGTCTCCAAAAAACTTAATTTCATAGAAATTACATAGCTATAGAAAAATTGCAGCTGTAAAGATGTCTGTATACTTATTCAGTCTCCAAAAACCATACTATATATCCTAAAATTCAGCTTTATTGAGGCGTAATGTATCTATGACAAACTTAATCTGTTTAGTGAATGTTGACAGTTTAGAACATAGTGAAGCTACATCACAGTCAAAATACAGGATGTTTCCACTCTGAGTTCCTGTGCCTCTATAGTCCATTCCCTGCTCAAACTTGAACCTGAGTGGTCACCAGTCTGTTCATTGTTCTTGGGTTTGTTTGCATTTTCCTGTCATTGCTCAGTGAAGCACAGGTGGCACGGTAGTATGGGCAGGCCTTCCCTGGGGGGGAAGGACTGGGAGTGAAAAGTGACTTTGGGAAGACAGGATAGTGGGCAGGGTCAGGAGTGGATTGTCTGCTGATAACATTGCACTTCATCTCCATCTGTTACAAAGGCAAACCATATACAGACAGTTTCTAAAACTGATAAAGGCAAAGACATGATGTCAATAAATCACTGTTTTTCTTAAAGATAATTTTCCATTTGATTCTGTCTTATAGCAATCTATCTCCTTAAAAAAATTTTTTTTTAAATTGTGTTTGAGTTTTTTGCCTTCATTTATGTAGGTGTACCACATGCATGCAGTGTTTACAGAGGCCAAAAGAAGGTGTCAGATCTCCTGAAACTGGAGTTAATGGACAGCTGTTAGCTACCATGTGGGTACTGGAAAAGAGCAGCCAGTGAATCTAACCCAAGTCCTCAGTAAGAGCAACCAGTGCTTTTAACTGTTGAGACTTGCGATCTATCTCCTTTTTTAAAAAAAATTATTACAAAGAGAGGCAATTTTTAACATATTTTCCCAGAAATAACTTGAAGTAGATTACATAGAAATATGTATACAATGAAGTTTAAGGGCATGGGGAGGAATAGGAATAAGAAATCAAAGACCAAAGGATTTGCCAACATGGGGTCAACTTTGGTAGAATAATGAAGGCTTCATTAGCTCTTTTTTTTTTTTTTTTTTTTTAAATCCTAACAAATTTATTGGGCTTGCTAACAAAGCATAGGGTGGGGGTTTGTTTGCAGAAGAGTGGACCATCCCCCATTTACGGCTATGCTGGAAAGTCCACACTCAAATATAGATCCTGTGACTTCCCAACAGCTGCAAATCTGTCTCCTTTTAAAATAACAATAGTAGGGGCTAGAGAGATGGCTCAGTGGTTAAGAGCACTGACTGCTCTTGCAGAGGACCTGGGTTCATTTCCCAGCACCCACATGGCAGCTATGAACCATCCTTAACTCCAGTTCCAGGGGAATCCTCTTCTGACCTCCGCGGCATTGCACGACACGGGTGCACTCATATACATGCAGGCAATGCACTCATACACATAAAAAAAAAAATTAAAATTGAAAACAATAACAACAAAAAAAACAATAGTAAGGGGCTGGAGAAATGGCTTAGTGGTTAAGAACACTGGGTGTTCTTGCAGTCTTGCAGAAGACCTGGGTTCAAATCCCAACGCCCACATGTTTTCTTCCCTTTATAATATACATGAATATTTGGCTCTCTCCCAGCACCCAACTAACAACTGCCTGTAACTGCCGTTCCAGGGGATCCGACAGGCTCTTCTGTCCTCTGTGGGCGTTGCATGACATGGGTGCACTTACCTATATGCAGACAATACACACATACACGTAAAATTAAAATAATAAAATAAAAATGACAATAGTAATCATAGATTTTACCCTGAAAGAATAGTGATTTTTCTAATTAGATCTTGTATTACTTTCTCCTTGCTGTGATAAAATACCTACTAAAACTAGCTTAAGAAAGGGTTTATTTGGGCTTACAATTTGAGGAGATATAGTCAGTCATGGGGACAGAAGTGTGAGGTAGTTGGTCACCTTGCATCTATAATCAGGAAGCAGAGAGAGATGAATGCGGTTGCTCATCTTGCTTTCCTGCTCCTTTTTGCCCTAATATTCGGTCCAGGACCATGGGATAGGGCTGTGTGCATTCAGGGTGGGTCTTCCCTGCTCACTTAATCCTCCCTGGAATCATCCTCTCAGACACTCCCTGATGGGTTTGTTACAATCCAGTCAAGGCAGTGAAGATTAACTACCACAGACCTCTGGCAAACTCATGGACTTGAGTGTTGTAAGTTTTCTTCCCTGTATAATATACATGAATATTTGAATCTCTCTATTTCATGTACAGGGTAAGCCAATTTAGAGTCTGGAAAGAGTGGAAGGTTGCAGTAGTTTCTGGTTATAGTGTAGGGTTAGAAAATTTGCTCTTACCATTTCCAGGCCAATCATTTGGGGACCATTTGTAATCTATAGGAAATACAGATGACCTGACAGTAGTCCTTGAATGTGCACGCCTGGTGGAGAGAATGTTCAGCCACATCGTTGCTCGAACTGAGGAGTTCACCTTGTTCTCCCCGTTCCTGGTGGCCCAGTATGTGACAGAGGCGCAAAAGGTAAGACTTAGGCTGAACATACTCACCAGGGTTTCCGGTCGTAGTCCTACAGCATGGATTCTCACCAAAAGTAGTAGTGATGGGGCCTGCAGCAGTGGGCTGTCCTGTGTGTGGTTGGGGGGTGGTGAGCAGTGGCCCTGCAGGGTTGTGGTCAGGACTGGGCAATGTGTAAACTCACTGAAGCCCCTTGGTGAAGCTGCTCAAGACTCTCAGGTCTTTGGCTCCAGCACATACTCAGGGCCTATTTCCTTGTTTCAACATTTTCCAGGAAAGTTTGGCTGGACAGCCTTTTTAGATCACTTCCTGCCCTGTTTTAGATATACCTGTAACTGCTAAGTAACTTTCCAACCCACAGCCCTACATCAGTGTGTGGAGCTGCTTGTCTTCCTAACAATTTTGGAAGGAGGTGGGGGAGCCAAGTAAGTGCATGAGAAGACCCTTCCAGTGATCCTTGAATGACGTATGGACTCGTAATATAGTTTCTTTGCAAGTATTTAGCATTTTTACAGAACCTTGATAATTTCCCAAGCGTGTGAGTCATTAATATATGTAATTAGACAGGGTTCTCTAGAAGAACAGAACTGAAAGAGTGAAGAATTTATTAATCAGTTTACTTTGGAATAGTAAGAACAGCTGAATCACACCAAGAGGCTGAGAACCTGGTAGTTGCTGCTCCTTGAGGCTGGGTGGTTGCCTCAGCAGCCAGAGCAGTCCCACAGTGGCTGTCTCCACCAGAGAGGCCAAGAACCTGGTAGTTGCTTAGTCCATGGGTTGGGTTCCTTGTCCCATTCTGGCACCAAAAACCTGGAGGGTTCCTGGAGAGGTGCTGTTCCTTGGTCAATGATGGAAGCCTGGAAATGCTGGTTCTGATATCAGCAAAGGAGTGAGCAACAGCAGCAACGGGATAAATTAACTCAGCGGCCAGAGGGAAGGCCAGACAAGTAAGACAATCTTCCTTCTGCAGTCCTCTTTTTTATCTGGGTTGCTACCAGAAGGTGCAGCCCACATTTTGGGGTAGGTCTTCCCTTTAAGGCAACTTATGACAGTCCCTCAGTTTGGCTCCCTACTCAGGTGATTCTAATTAAAACCAACTATCACAATATAAAAGCTTTTGATGAAAGAAAAGCTGGTACTAGTTTTTTGTTTTTTAACTGCAGAATAAAATGAGACAGTAATTTCACTTCACTGAGGGCCAACAAAGGAGAGGTAATTGGAACCCTTAAGCCATATTATTCTGAGATTTACTTTATGAAAATTTGCTGGTTTCGTGGCCTCATTATTCATGTCTAATTTATGTTTATCTCATTTTTTCTTTTAAATCTTGAAAGCAAAAGGTTTTGTGAATTATCTATGGCTGTTGCATCTAGTATCCTTTGGCAGCAGTCTAGGTCTTACCTTTCATTTATTTTTAAATTTAGCAATGAAGAAAATACTCCATATGCATTAGGGGCTGCTAGTTAGAGCCATAAATCCTCCCAGGCAGCATGTTTAGGTTTAATTAAATGCCAGAGAGCAAGGATACCCAGATAGATCTCTGCAATCATACCCTGTGCTTCTGCAGGCTGAAAGTTGGTGGGAGGACCTATGAAGGACAAGCAGATGACTTGGAGAGACCCTGTTGGTTAGGAGCTACCACAGCCTATATATGCCTAGTTGTTTTGTCCTCTTCATGTGGTGAGAAGTCCCAATGGAAATGTACAAGGATGTTTCTGTTACCTTCTTTTACTTCTAGATCAATTTATAGGAGTCCGTCTATATTGCTAGTTTAGGGTGAGTAGTGGTTAATGCTCATTGTATCCAAAGAGCTTTGAAGCTCCTGAGACATGCTTTCATTCATTGGCCGGTAATCCTAGTTGTAGAAATTTCCAGAGACCCATGGCTATACTGTTTTCACATTGCTGGTCTGAGCTCCAAGGTTCTCTCAGCATGTTCTGTGATCTGCCCCTGGTTTGTATTTAGAGCTCTTCTTCCTTCTCAGGTGACCTTGTACCCAGCTGTGAAAACCCTGTTGCAAGAGGGCATCTACCTTGTTCTGGATCTCTGCAGTGAGCGTGACATCCAGTTCCTGCGAGTCTCACTGCAGCCAGGAGCTCGTGATGTCTTTAAGGACCTGTACAACAACTATCTTAAGTACCACAAGGCTAAACATGAAAGAGAAAAAAGATACACCGCCTAGGCAATGCCACCGGAAGCATAGTCATTTGGGTTTGCCTTGTAGAGGCTGTGGCCTCATGGTGCAGAGCTGTGGAAGATGAACAGCTTCTGCTTTTCATGTTCAGTGTTGACACCCACGGGAAATCCCTTGGGGCTCACATGTTTTTATACCATGTTGTACTTGCTGAGTTCTTTAATAACCTTTTTGTAATCTCTTTTGTGGGCAGTGATAGGGATTGAACCCAGGGTCTTGCACATCTAAGCTTACACTTCTGCCACTGAGCTATGTTTTTGGCTCCAGTACATCCTTGTCAGTGTGACATAAGAAGCCTGGAAATAGGCTCTGGGATGGGGTTAATATAATTGGAAAAATTGCTGACTATCATGACTGCCTTATGTAGTTCTTTTCTTTCCCCTTCTCCTGGCTAGGAACTATTTGGACCTTGGTGTTTTGCTTCTGATATATGGGTCTATAATTAAATCCTATTTGAATAACTCTGCTCTTTAAATTCCTCAAGTAACGCAGAGGCACTTTCCAGCTGCCACTCTTGTGCCTTCCCTCTGAGAATCTTGGTGGTATGGAAGAAGCAACCCAGGGCCTTGCTTAGAGTTTCTGCTCTGGACAGGGAGGAGCACCCATCAGATAGGGAGATGCTCTTAGCAAAGGGCTGGGGTTCTTGCTCTTCCTGCTTCAGTCTGCGACATTCATTAATGGAATTTTTTTCCCTACTCAATTTAAGAAATAATGTTAATTGTTTTTTTACCTAAACAATGTATTTTAACAGTCTCAGTTATCTAGATAGCCTTTGTCCATCACTTGGAAGTTTTAATCTGTTTGTTTGTATATATTTGTGTAGGTATATATAAATATATAGTAAATTTGATCAAAATACTTTTTTAAAAGTTATTTAACATTTTCCTTTGTAATATTTCAGTCATACTTTTTGAGTCAATAAAGTTACTTGGTATTTTTTTTTTTTATGCTGAATAGACACAACTGTTTGAATAAATCCCCCCTAGTCAGAATCTTCTACAATTTACTTTCATAAATATTTCCTGTGGCTGTATTGTTTCCTAAGATTACCCCCGCCCCAGAATACTATGTTGTTTCTCTGGGTTTTTTTTGGCAGGGGGGTTGTACTTTTTTTGAGACGGTCTCACTATATAGCCCTGGAAGATGTGGAACTCACTATGTAGACCAGGCCGACTGTAAACTCTGCCTGGTTCTGCCTCCTGAGTACTGGGATTAAAGGCATGTCCTGTGTCTTTTATTTTGAGACAGGATCTTACTCCATGGCCCAGGTTTAATGATGAACTTGAAGTCCTCCCTCTTCAGCCTACCAAGTGTTGGGATCATTGGTGTATACCTCCAGATACAACTAGAAAACCGTATCAGTTTTAACTGAATTCTATAAATATTGCCAAGTTACTCTCTAGAAAATGTACACATTTGTTTTCCCCTAGTGAATCTGTTACCAGTTGGCTTGCTCTAACAGGAATTGTAGGTAGGTGAGAAATTTTTTTTGTGCTGGCAGTCACTTGTCAAGTGCCTGAGGCATAGGTACTAGACTGGCAGACCCAAGAGTTTATGGCTCCAAGCCCAGTGAACTGGGGGCCTGTTATTTAGGTTGGAGACTTACTGCTCTGGGCTTTAAGCACTTGGCAGCTATTGTGGTCCTCAGCTTCCAGTAGCCAGTAGCCAGTAGCAGCAGCAGCAGCAGCCGCCGCCGCCAATGGTGGCATGCAACACTTAACTAATGTTACAGCTCCTGAATGAGCCTTGAGTTTTGGGACCCTTGGCCCCACAGCAACCAGCATTTATGGCTCTCAGGGTCTCTGAGACACTTGACCCTGGACAGTGACCAATGTTATGGCTGTTGGGCCTTAGGAGCGTTGGTATTAAGCCCTGGCAGGTCTCTGGAATTCTTTCAGTGACCACGACGTGCAGTTTTTTGCTCCCTGACCAAGTCGCTTTCTGGAACTCTTTATCCACCAATTTTCACTGCTACTGATGCTGCTCTTGCTGTGGCCACTTTTGCCACCCCTACTGCTTTAATGCTGTTTCCACCTCCTCTGTGTTAATAGCCCAGTTACTGATAATACCAAAAGCAAACAAGAAAAGATTGTGCTAGTTGTGGTGGCGCACACCTGTAGGATATGCCAAAGAGGCAGAGGCAGGAGGATCACAAGGTCGAGGCCAGCTGGGGCTATACATTTGACCGGGCTTGGTGGCATACACTTTTAATCCCAGCACTTGGGAGGCAGAGGCAGGCAGATCTCTTGTGAGTACAAGGCCAGCCTGGTTTACAAAGAGAGTTGTAAGCCAGCTGGGGCTACAGGGAGGCCCTGTCTCAAAAGACCAAAAAAAAAAGCCCAGCAACATTGCTTGATCTAGGCATGGTGGTACATACCTTTAATCCCAGTGCTTGGGGAGGTAAAGGTTGAAGGATCAAGAATTCAAGATTATCTTCAGTGTGTTTGAGGCCAGTGTATATGCTACATCAGATCCTGTCTCAAAACAGCTGCAAAAGACCACTTGCAAGAAGCCTTTCATTGGACCTAGTGTGAATAGCCTGCTTGTATAGCTAGAAAGGAGATGTAGCAAGGGTGTTTGACTGATCACAGGCCTTCTGCTGGGCCACCAGGGGAGGTACACCCCCATTGGGTGAAGATGGCTACTAAAGCTCACTGAGTTGTAGGTCTCCTGATACTCCCTTTTCACTTAGTCAAGATGTAGATGTTTAAAAATGATTTGAAGGATAATCCTTAAGCAAATTCCCTTCCCCCTTTGTTGTTTTTGTTATAGGGTCTTTACTATATTGCCCAGGCTTCTCTTGAACTCTCTATGTAGTGCATACTGGCCTTGAACGCACCATGATCATCTTGCTTGGGTTTCCCCAGTGCTGGATTACAGGTGGGCCCCACCATATCCTGCCCCATTTTTTTTCTTACATTGCTTTTTCAAGTACCTGTAGGTGGAGTGACAGTATGAACTGGATCTTTTTGGATGCCTTTGAGAAATAGTCTCTGCTTTATGCCCCAAATCTGCTTGTATTTCCTGCTCTGGTTGACTTGGAGGAGGAACCAACTTTGCATGTCTGACTTGTCTCCTCACTCCCTCTGCTTAGGCCTTCAAAGCTAGGCAGTCAGAGACAGATTCAAGTGAACTGGTGCCCTTTTCATCCCTATAGGAACCTTCAAAGGAGATTTGGTCACCTGGAGATGGGCTGTAGCAGGGGATAGGTGGCCTGTTGACGCCTCTGGCTATAGACAGAAGGAACTGGCATTATAATCTCTGGCCTGCCCTTGTGCCATGGAGCTGTGCCTGATGGTCACCATATAGCACCAGGCAGGAGTTAGCCAAGCCAGGATCCCTGTTCCAGGTGGGAACCCTGTTGGTCCAGTCACAGGTCTGGCAGTTCCTCAGGTGTCCTGAAGGTGGCGCTGCGGTGTCGTGCAGGGAACTTGGCCCTGTAGGAGGGGGACAGAGATCTTGAGCCTCCATACAGTGCACTGTGCTGAAGTGTGGGCCCTGTGTGATTCCTGTTCCCAAAGCTGCTATTGGCTCCTCAGCCATTTCTCTAGACCTTTTCCCAGAAAGTCATTCCTAACTCAGCTTTGCTGATTTCAGAGGGCAGAAACATCTTCTGGTGGCACTCACCTAAGGGCTGGAATTGGCATGGGCCGACAGAAGGACATACCACAGAGGCCCGGGCAGAGGGGCTGATGCTGAGATGGGAACCCTGTTGACTTCGTGTGGCTAAATACTCCCAGAAATCCAGCAGGTGCACAATATTCCTGTTCTGCACAAGCCAGGCATGGAAACAGAGTCCTGTTTCTCTGGGACCATTCTAGCAGGGTCCTTGACAAATGAGTGAGAGAAAAGCCAGATCTGGGAGCGTAAGACCTGCCTGAGTGTTGCTTGATAAGAACTGGTTGAAGTCACTTGCCTCCCTGCTTTTGACATGTGATGGGATTGGGAGGAGGGCAGCAGGAGGGCAGAGAAGACTACATATGAGAGTCCCAGTTCCAGATGTTTCTTTGCAGGCCCTGCCTGAAATAGACTGGACAATAGAGCATTGGAGAGACACCAAAGAAGACACCGTAGCCTCCCCTTTCCCTCAGCTGCTCCCCGTGGGCCACAGTGAATAGTTTAGTCTACCTTACAGCCTGTTCTCTGCAGCTTCTCCAACTCAGCTCCTTACAGCCCTTTGCCTTTCTCTTCGCATCTCCCTGGTTTGTGTCTGCAACAGGACTCTTAACACAGTTCCCAGGGACTACTTGGCGTTGAACTTGCTACATGGTAAGATCAGGAACTTGAGTTCCTGATCATCCTGTCTTAGCCTCCCCAGTCCCGGGCATGAGCTCACCCACTTTTGCTTTGTGTTTTGAAAAGCTGCTGTTGGGTAGCAGCTAACAGCTACATTGCTTCTTGATTCCTCATTCCCTTAAGCATCTTCTAAATGTACTTTTCTATCTTCATTTCTCCTTTCCTCCTGTCTTTTTTTTTTTT